GGATGGCATAACAAATCTGAGCTCCTGAAGATGGTGGTACTTGGCTTCCTTGATGTTCAGTGGTTGTAAAAAACCTTCGTGACTGTTTTCTTTCCTGCTCCCCTGTCTGTGGTCTACGAGGTAGATCTTGCCAGTCATCAGTGCTATGCATGAAGAAAATCCTTTGACTTCAGTATTTGATGTCAGTAACTCGTGGATCTCCACCTTTGTTACTGGGTCTGACAGAAGTATAAGTGAAACAAGGAGAAGAGTCTTTGACGAAGTCATACATAATAGACTTGACTACATATTGCTTGCTATCACTGACAGTTTTTATAGCATCAACTGGGTACCCATTTTCTGCTGGGTGAACAGAGGCAATGTTGAACCAACTCACTTGCCACAGGTGAGACCTGATGTATGATATGTGTTTCGTTGTGGGCCAGGACTGAAGTTGTAGAAACTCTCAGGAGTCAATCTGCCAAACATGGTCACCCATCCAAGGACTCATCGTTGCTTAACTTCAACTGATTCGTGACGTGAGCTCTATGCACAGGACCACACGCTACCACGATATATATATAATATTATAATATATATATATATGAATATGTATATGTATATGTACAGGACCATATGTGTATATATATATATATATATATATATCAGATTATGATATATATATATGTTACAGTCAGATTGTGAAATCAGTCATTTCGTGAAGAGGGTCAGCCATTCAACTATCCCTACTGCTCGTTCTCTTTCTGCCTGGGTTAACCTTGGCATTCTCTCTGTGTGACTTTATGTGCAGTGATATTGCAGTGTTGGACAGGCCATTTATACTGATTTTTCGCACGATCTTTCCCATGTATCCAACTAAGACATGTGTGTCATGTTTCTGAGAGTCGGGGCCACAAAATACGTTTTGGCGATTTGTTTCGTGCATCACGAACATTGGCAATCGTTATCAAGCACATTTACTTCAAATTTGATGGAAATGTCCAACCCTATTAATATAGCCAATAGCGAAATGGCTGAAATTTTTAGTCATTTCACAAAATGACTGATTTCACAATCAGACTGTAACATATATGCATAGTCGTCACTGAATTGTGTGACTGTGTCACCTGGAGAAACTTCTCTTTTGATGTAGTCTGTAATGGAGGAGGAAAACACGAGAACAATTAGCTCCCTGTGACCTTCATGCCAGACGTATTACATGACGACATGTGAAGCAACATCGAAGATGTTAAAGTTGTGACAGGCCAACTTGGTTTTATGCTACAATACACTACCATTCAGTGATGGAGCAATCAACACAGCTTGTAGATCCATGGTGAGAACTTCACCTTTGATTGCTTTCTGATTGTCATCTGTAAGAACTAGTCTACTCATGGCTGTAGTTTCATGTTCTAATCATGACTAACAGCTCAGTCACTGACCGAATGTTGGGTTCCAGAAACAGTTTATTTACTGGAATTTCTACAATAATGGATGACAGTTTTGGTATTAGATACAATACAAGTATCAAGGATCAAATGTTATACCCTAAAGGGTGCTAAAGACGGGAAAAAAACATACACTGTCAGTTATCCAGATTCTTCAGTTATATGTCAAAACTTGTTGTTTTATGTTTATTTCACAGCATTTTATGAATTTCATAACATAGGTGGTATTTCGAGCACAATACCACTGTAGCAATGTGAATAAGCATCGAAACACATCCTCACAAAATGGTAGCGCTGAAACTTACGAGGTTTTGCATGTCACTTTTGGGGACTAATAAGATAGGTGCTTTTGAAAAATGGTTGTATCTTGGAATTCTATTGGAGGATTGTTATGAGAATTTGACAGAAAATGCATTGATACTAGGTGAATGTATTTTTCATCTAAAGTCAAGTTTGGCGAAATGCCGACATACAAGGTTTTGACAGGACTGCGACGATTTGACTCTTTAGAATGGCAATTTATCGAAAAAGCATTAGACACATTCCAATTTTTTACTCAAAATAGTCATAGTGCTATAAGGGGTGGTGGGGTAGCCTAGTGGTTAAAGCGTTGGCTCGTCACGCCGAAGACCCGGGTTCGATTCCCCACATTGGCACAATGTGTTAAGCCCATTTCTGGTGCCCCCCGCCGTGATGTTGCTGGAATATTGCTAAAAGCGGCGTAAAACCAAACTCAGTCAGTCAGTCATAGTGCTATAATAAACTCGGGACATATTTCCAATTTTTTCAGTCTGGGTTGGGGTCTCGACAGGGAGACCCTTTATCGCCTTACCTGTTCATAATGAGTGCAGAATTGCTTGCTATTTCTTTTAAATGTAACACATGAAATATAACCGGGATTAATGTGAATGGAGTAGAATATTCTATTTTCCAATATGCAGATGATACCAATTTCTCAATCGACAGATCAGAACAAAGTCTATCAGAAGTCATGAAGACTCTTAAACTAAAGAATTAGCTATTTGCTCAGGGTCAGCAGTTTGGATTGGATCCCAAACTGGTTCGTCTGATAAACTGTCGCCTCATATACCTCTTTATTGGTCCAAAGAAGCCTTTAAGATTCTAGGAATTACATTTTCAACAAATCTGAGAGAAATGCTAGATTTAAATTTTGATAAGCAATTTACAAAGGCAAGAAAAGTGCTATTCACATGGTTACATAGAATGTAAACTCTGCGATGAAAACTTGTTATAATAAAATCTCAAATTTTACCGTCATTTACCTTCCGTTTTGGCGTCTCGTCCATCTCCTGAATGTTTTTAAAACGAGTGAACTCTTTGTTGTATCGTTTTATACGGTGTGGTAATAGAAATAGAATAAAAAGAAGAAAAAATGAATCGGAAACCTCTACAGGTTTGGACGAATTTGACTGCTTTTTCCCCAATGATATGAATTTTCATTAACCTAGCCTTACCAGCTGTCTATCCTCAGCGTCTGCTCTTTAGGAATGATGTGACAATGGACAAAGAAGTGTCTCTCTGGACTGCTGTAATTTCCGAGTTGAATTGTAGTGGTCAGGGTTTCCAAAAAATGTAACTGTGGTCCAAACCACAATGTAAATCGAGACGTAACTGTTTTAAAACGGGACTGAAGTGTAATGGTCTGTGTCATGACATCTTGTCCCAACAGATGAACTTTAAGAGTATAAACTCTCAGTCGAAGTAAACTTAGGCTCAGTATTATTCGTTACACTGCTTCTACTGAGTCTAACAAACCCTAGTAGAAGGTCGCGTCAGCTAACCTTTGAGCGATCGTCCAATCACATGTGAGATGGGCGAACGGATTTAACCAATCAGACAATGGCTGCTGTTTAGGGTTCGGCGGGACTTACAAAATTCCCGGTCACTGACACTCATCTCTCAACAAACGAAAATCTGCATAAAAACAGATATTTGACCTGCAGTATATATGCCTAGGGCTTTCTGATGACATGGTTACCATTAGCTAATATTTCCGCAAGCTGACATCCTTGAATATTGACAAAACGCTATTTTCAGCGACTGTTTACTCAGCATGCTGTGGCGTGCTCCATGTGCATCACACGGAAGCAATTGTAAAGAAAATAGCAATCGAAATCGTTCGGGTACAAACTTTTTTGAGGGAAAAGTGCAAACGGTATTTGCAAATGTCAACTTTCGCGATTTGGTAAGCTGTGTTCTGATTGGTCAACTGAAAAGGTTAGCTGACGAGACCTTCTACTAGGTTTTGTTAGACTCAGTGAAATGAATAATACTGAGCCTAAGCTTACTTGGACTGTATAAACTCTGCACTTGCATTATATATTTGGTGTTCTCTATTTAAATAAAGGCTGACAGGGGTTTCATGAAATCCCTGAGCCAATATTTCAGTAATTTCATGAAATCCCTTGAAATTTTAGGGAATACATGATATCCCTGAGGGGATTTCACGAAATCACTGATTCTTTTAGGGATTATGTGAAATCCCTGGTTTCACACATTCCCTGTAACATATATTTGATTTTAGTGATCATGAATAACGAATTGAATTCATGAAAGGATACCGTTTGATTTACAGAGTATGTGAATGAGCCTTAATGTGAGCCTCAGCTCTTATTATCTTTTTTACATTATCACATGCACTGTTCTGAGATATTTCGCTAAAAGATCAAAGGGTCCGGAAGTACTTTATCCTCCATCAAACTACACTTTATGAGTGTCAGTGGGTTGATGTCATTATACTGTTAAGATTACATCCAGCGTGAATAAACATACCCTTAGTAACACTGATTCATCATTCTTGTCAACTGATCACATAGATAAGATGAAATATGATAAGTTGGACCTTTTCCCGATTTAACATTTCAAGCATGGTCTCTTCACTCTGAAGATTACATAAAGCAAATTTCTTGAATGATGATGATTATTTGGAGATTTAACATGCGCTTTCAGCATATTTTGCACACAGATGTCTTAAATTTCACATTGCACAAGTTATTGTGGACTGTTAATTAACTGATTTGTGTTCTCAAAGTTGATTAGACAATGCACACTGGAAGTATTGCTTTGTAACTCCCACCTTGGACTGCTGCTAAGGGATAAACATTGGAGTCATTACTTCATGTTAATATTCCAAGGGTGATGAAACATTTTGTAAAACACAATATATTCTTTGGTCTCTGTTTTGGTCTTACTTGCAGTTATTTCTGTGAAAAGATACAAACAATGTCTAAAGTTTTTCAGCACAGACATTTTAGGGACAAAATCAAAGTATGATATCATATTTTAGAAAAACAAACTTAACTTTTTAAGTTTTGAGACCCCCTCCAGTCCCCCCACCCCAAAATATACTTAATTCTCAAAATGTTGTAATCCTAACTTTAGGTGCCACTTTTGTCTTGCATTCTCGTGTTTCCTGAACATTCATGTGCATGTAAAACTTATTGAAATTCATTTGGATGCAATACCTTACAAATTATTTTGTTTGAAATATCTCCCATGGCCCTTCCAAGTTTCAAGTGGTGTTTGAATATCTCTTATTTTGTCCTGTTGCAGACTACAATGGTGGCCATAGGGAAGTACACACAGGACCATCTCTGGTTCTCATCGTGGGTCTCACCATGGCATTTGTGGGAGCAGCCATATTGATAGTGGTCATCTGCTGTGTATGCAGGAAGCGCCAGCCTCCAGATTCCCAAGGCGCCATGTACGAACGGGCAGCAACATCGGACGGCCAGAGCGTGGTCACCTCCTACCCCCTTGGTCCAGTAACAACAGGTAGTGCTCAGTCCACCCAGTCTGGCATGACTGTTTCCAAGACAACGTCAACCGCTGCGTCTCAAATGTCCAGTGGAGGTAGGCTGGTCTCTGTCAAGAGTCTCGCTTTACTAACCATTGCTGCAGCCATTTGTCGCTCCTTGAATGTGGGGATTCACGACAGACTAGATCCTCTCATTGCTTCAAGCTTGACCATCATTAAGTATTGCGATTTGGAGCATTGTGTTTCCTGCTTGGCTGTCATTTTGTGTTTGGATTGGGAGCTGAGGGCTTCCTGCTTGCCTCAGTCATTAACTGTGGGAGTCCAAGGCACGGTGCTTTCTGCCTACCTGTAATTAAGTGTGGGAATTCAGGGAGTGCTTTCTGCTTATACGTTTTTAAGTGTTGTGATTCAGGGCACGGTGCTTTCTTCTTATCTGTCATTAAGTGTGGAATTCAACTTTTTCAAGACAGTGCTTTCTGCTTATCTGTCATTAAGTGTGGTGATTCCAGGCTGTGTAGGTCTTAAGTGCTTTTTGCTTGCCTATGATATTAAATTTATGTTCATGTCCATGATCCCATGTAGGGATAACAGGCCAGATACCTAGTGCTGTAACAGCGATGCAGTATTGTATTCCGTACCAGGCCCATGACACAGCATATCGACTTACAACCCATTACATACCATTACATGTCAAGTTATGTTTGTGTAAAACTCAAAAGAAATTACAGTTCAACAACCAGCTTATGCAGATTCTGTAGTTGACCTGCTAAAAGAATGAATGAAACTTATGAAATAAAATTTCTGTATTGGGATATGAATTGTATCAGACCAATAACATGGGATATGTATCATATAGCAATCACACCATATTGATAGACCTCTGCTGATATCCCAATTAGTTGCCACATGCTTGTCTTTCCACTGTAGGACATTCCTATCAGTTAACCCCTGAAGGTGCTACATGCTTTTCTCTCATTGATGGAGTTCCAGGCCAGATAATATGGTTGCTTCTTGCTTGTGTCACCCTGCCGCCATATAGCTGGAATACTGCTGAGTGCGGCGAAAAACTAAACTCACTCACTCACTTGTGTCACCCCTGGGTGTGCCCTGCCTTGTACTTCCTATAGGTTATGCCTGCTTGTCTCACCTTGGGCTATGCCATGTCTGGTAGTTCCTATAGGTGATTGTCTCATAGTTTGAATAGGCGATGTCTGCTTGTCTTATGTTTGGATATGCCATGTCTGGTAGTTCCTATAGGTTATGCCTGCTTGTCTCACCTTGGGCTATGCCATGTCTGGTAGTTCCTATAGGTGATGCCTGCTTGTCTTATGTTTGGATGTGCCATGTCTGGTAGTTCCTATAGGTGATGCCTGCTTGTCTTATGTTTGGATATGCCGTGTCTGGTAGTTCTTATAGGTGATGCCTGCTTGTCTTATCTTTGGATATGCCATGTCTGGTAGTTCCTACAGGTGATTGTCTGGTAGTTCCAATAGGCGATGCCTGTTTGTCTTATCTTTGGATATGCCATGTCTGGTAGTTCCTACAGGTGATTGTCTGGTAGTTCCAATAGGCGATGCCTGCTTGTCTTATCTTTGGATATGCCATGTCTGGTAGTTCCTATAGGTGGTTGTCTGGTAGTTCCAATAGGCGATGCCTGCTTGTCTTATCTTTGGATATGCCATGTCTGGTAGTTCCTATAGGTGATTGTCTGGTAGTTCCAATAGGCGATGCCTGCTTGTCTTATCTTTGGATATGCCATGTCTGGTAGTTCCTACAGGTGTTTGTCTCGTACTTCAAATAGGCGATGTCTGCTTGTCTTATGTTTGGATATGCCTTGTCTTGTAGTTCCTATAGGTTATGCCTGCTTGTCTTATCTTTGGATATGCCTTGTCTGGTAGTTCAAATAGGTGATGCCTGCTTGTCTTATGTTTGGATATGCCTTGTCTTGTAGTTCCTATAGGTTATGCTTGTCTCACCCAGGGGTATGCCATGTCTGGTAGTTCCTATAGGTTATGCCTGCTTGTCTCACCCTGGGGTATGCCATGCCTGGTAGTTCCTATAGGTTATGTCTGCTTGTCTCACCCTGGGGTATGCCATGTCTGGTAGTTCCTATAGGTTATGTCTGCTTGTCTCACCCTGGGGTATGCCATTCCTGGTAGTTCCTATAGGTTATGTCTGCTTGTCTCACCCTGGGGTATGCCTTGCCTGGTAGTTCCTATAGGTTATGTCTACTTGTCTCACCCTGGGGTATGCCATGTCTGGTAGTTCCTATAGGTTATGTCCGCTTGTCTCACCCTGGGGTATGCCATGTCTGGTAGTTCCTATAGGTTATGTCTGCTTGTCTCACCCTGGGGTATGCAAAATCTGTTAGTTCCATTAGGTTATGTCTACTTGTCTCACCCTGGGGTATGCCATGTCTGGTAGTTCCTATAGGTTATGTCTACTTGTCTCACCCTGGGGTATGCCATGTCTGGTAGTTCCTATAGGTTATGCCTGCTTGTCTCACCCTGGGGTATGCCTTGCCTGGTAGTTCCTATAGGTTATGTCTGCTTGTCTCACCCTGGGGTATACCTTTCCTGGTAGTTCCTATAGGTTATGTCTACTTGTCTCACCCTGGGATATGCCTTGCCTGGTAGTTCCTATAGGTTATGTCTACTTGTCTCACCCTGGGGTATGCCATGTCTGGTAGTTCCTATAGGTTATGCCTGCTTGTCTCACCCTGGGGTATGCCTTGCCTGGTAGTTCCTATAGGTTATGTCAACTTGTCTCACCCTGGGGTATGCCATGCCTGGTAGTTCCTATAGGTTATGTCTACTTGTCTACCCCTGGGGTATGCCATGTCTGGTAGTTCCTATAGGTTATGTCTACTTGTCTCACCCTGGGGTATGCCTTGCCTGGTAGTTCCTATAGGTTATGTCTACTTGTCTACCCCTGGGGTATGCCATGTCTGGTAGTTCCTATAGGTTATGCCTGCTTGTCTCACCCTGGGGTATGCCTTGCCTGGTAGTTCCTATAGGTTATGTCTACTTGTCTACCCCTGGGGTATGCCATGTCTGGTAGTTCCTATAGGTTATGTCTACTTGTCTCACCCTGGGGTATGCCATGTCTGGTAGTTCCTATAGGTGATGCCTGCTTGTCTCACCCAGGGGTATGCCATATCTGGTAGTTCCTATAGGTTATGCCTGCTTGTCTCACCCTGGGATATGCCATGCCTGGTAGTTCCTATAGGTTATGTCTACTTGTCTCACCCTGGGGTATGCCTTGCCTGGTAGTTCCTATAGGTGATGTCTACTTGTCTCACCCTGGGGTATGCCATGTCTGGTAGTTCCTATAGGATATGTCTGCTTGTCTCACCCTGGGGTATGCCATGTCTGGTAGTTCCTATAGGTTATGTCTGCTTGTCTCACCCTGGGGTATGCCTTGCCTGGTAGTTCCTATAGGTTATGTCTACTTGTCTCACCCTGGGGTATGCCATGTCTGGTAGTTCCGATAGGTTATGTCTGCTTGTCTCACCCTGGGGTATGCCTTGTCTGGTAGTTCCTATAGGTTATGTCTGCTTGTCTCACCCTGGGGTATGCAAAATCTGTTAGTTCCATTAGGTTATGTCTACTTGTCTCACCCTGGGGTATGCCATGTCTGGTTGTTCCTGTAGGTTATGTCTACTTGTCTCACCCTGGGGTATGCCATGTCTGGTAGTTCCTATAGGTTATGCCTGCTTGTCTCACCCTGGGGTATGCCTTGCCTGGTAGTTCCTATAGGTTATGTCTGCTTGTCTCACCCTGGGGTATGCCATGTCTGGTTGTTCCAATATGCGATGCAGGCATGTCTCATTTATGGTATGCCATGCCTGGTAACTTCTATAGGTTACCCATTTTTTGGCTGACATTTGGGTATGCCAGACCTGGTATGGGTTCCAAGGGAGAAGTGTTTTCAGTATCACATGCTTTGCTCCTTGTCTTAGGATTCATTTACTGAAAGTTATGTGTAATTTCTTCTTGACCAGTGTGCATGCTACAGACCTGTATTCTCGGCAAGATTGTATGTAAGACATAAGAATGACAAAGTTTGTATGTAACAACCCATACAGGTTTCAATGGGTTGGCAAACCCGATATATTTGCTTTAGATTTCTCTTACAACAACATGAGACATATTCCAGTAAAATCTTTTGCAGTTTGACACTCTAGAGGTTCATGCTCAGAATTTGTAATCCTGCCTATCATTGTGTAGATGATGTGGATCATTGCCACACTTTTAGTCACAGGTTTCACTGGCCTAGATTGAATGTGTACAAGCCATCATGATATGGCTTGAATACCGTTGGCTGTGACATATACACTTGTCGTAAGAGGCGACTAACTGGATCGACTGGTCAGGCTCGCTGACTTGGTTGACACATGTCATCGGTTCCCAATTGCGTAGATCGATGCTCATGATGTTGATCACTGGATTGTCTGGTCCAGACTTGATTTTTTACAGACCACCACCATATGGCTGTAGTATTGCTGAGTGTGGCGTTAAACAACAAACCAACAACATCTACACAACATTCAGTCATTTCATCAAACGAATCAGATGAGCCCCAACGTCCCCCCATCAACATTTACTGCGAGTTAAAACTTCAAACTTGTCCCGTCTTGGCACAGCTTATGCTCATTGTTTTCCTCTCCAGGCCCCCCGATGCCTCAACCACCACAGCCTGGTCAGATGTATGGAGGCCACCCAGGACACCCCGGACACCCTGGACACCCCGGACACCCCGGACACCAGCCTTACCCAGGGTACCCTAACGCAGCTAACATGGGCCCTCCCTACATGTACCAAGTCCCTCAGCCTACCTTCCAGCCAATGACAACTCTGGCTGTGTTTGGTGCCCCGGACGGTGCCCCCCCGGAGAACTCCCAGGCCAACACCTCTGGGGGAACACCCATGCCATACTCTCTGTACTCCCCTGGACCAGGGGAGATGAAGCAGCCTTTGCCACAGGGGGTGCCACATCATTTACAGCAAGAATTTCAGCGCCAAGTTAATATGGCCACTCAGCAATACAACACAAACCAGCAGCAATCTTCTGAGTTTCCACGGCAACAAGCCACTGCCCCGCCTCCACCTGCTCCCATGTAGATGTTTTAGGCAGCTTTTATGTATTTGAACCTTGTTTGACGACTTAAATTTGTGTATATAAACTCTGAATGCAACAGTGGGTGTTACACACCGTAGTGACCCATGAGATAATTGGCCATATTGCTGTATGTGGTTCCTGGGAGGTTTATATTTCATAATGCAATATTGGGTTGATATGCCATTTTGCTATATGGCTTTCTAGCTCACCTGGACTCAAATTCCAGTGAGTATATTTCCTGGTCTAACTGTTGTTGGTCATACATCATCAATTTAATCAACATCACTTTTTGGGAAGGGTTGATGATGCTTCAAAAGCATATGGTAAATCTATCTCTGTGTACATGTATGCCGCTGCTTTGAAACAGATATGGTGTCATTTTGAAATCTTGAAATAACTGTGATATTATATGACCAGGTGAGCTTCAAAGTCATGGCGCTGTTTTATATGCTGTGTTTCCAACTGATGTTTTTATGACAATGACATGGGGTTTATATGTCATATTAACACAATTGTAATACCATCCTTCCGGGCATAGCCATATGGCCATGTGACCAGGTTGTGTGTCATGTGACAGGTCATGTGATTACAGTGATCATGTGACATCATGTGATTGCCGATGGATTTGATCATGGTGCTTTTTCATATACCCGTTTGGAGTCACAATACAATATTTTTATGGTGCATGCAAGAGATGTCTCAGACTACATTCACCAGTCTATAGTTTCACAGTGTTTATAGTTTTTACATGGTCACAATAAGCATAACTGAATATACATGTACTAATTTGGGTTAGCCATCTTACAAGTGTAGACATATAGATAAAATGTGTTGGGAAAAGGGAATTAATGGCAGTAAAGAGTTTGGCATGTTGTATGTTGACGAAGATTTAATGAAAGCAATAATGTCATTGTGTATCAGGGTGTCTCGGGGTGTCCACTGATATGTGACAGTAACTCTTGTTATTATGGTCGACTGTTTCCACCAGTGAACATAAAGCTTACAGGATAAAGGAAGGATGCATCATTAAATTTGTAATAAATTCTTATTTCATGGTACCATGTCACCAAATTAGTAAGTCATAGAGTCAATATACTTTAACTTTTGCAAACCTATACAGTTTCTTAACATACAAATTACAGATTGCTTCAGTGGAAAGATGGAATAAGCGTGCACCCTACATTCAGACAAAGTTTCCGTGTATGTTCATTTATTTTGAATGACCAGATATTCTTAAATAAATATTTCCCTGTTACTTACTTTATTGAGTGGATTCCTTGGCTAGGCCCCAGAGAACTTTGTGCAACAGCTAGATGCAGCCAGGGAGCTTGTACTGCTGTGTAAAGTGTCAAGGCAGTGTAATTATACCTAGCTAGTGTCAGCTCTACACAGTGAAGTAGTGGCACTGGTTCAAGCCCTGTGGACAATATTTAAAATTAAACATTGTTTATTTATGTCAATGTTTAATTTCATGTACAGACATTTTAAACCTTTGTACAAAGTTCTGTGTTAATGGTGTTTTAGTTTGTGTTGTCGTCTTCTGTTTTTATCATCCTAGATTTGTGTTCTTCATATGAAATACCTCATGACTGGGTAGCATTACACACAATATCAAAAACAAGCCAAAATGTTTGTTTTTTTATTTCACTTGATTTTCACGTACCATTGTCGTTTTTTACTCCAGCGAAAACAACACCCCTGTTATGGAGATAATGTCACTAGTGATTTTTACATTAATTTTTTTATATTAAAGTGGTGTTTTCTTCACTCATAAAGAACATTTGAATGGTTTACATCGTGTTTGGTATTACTTGAGTTGTCGAGCTGCTTTGTGGTGTACAGTGCTTGACAATTTCTTGTAACTAAAAAATGTAACATGACATGGTGATGCATTGTCATTCCTACTGAGGAGTCATTCAGGAGAGCCAGTATAACACCAGTATAACACCAGTATAACACCAGATTAGACTGACAAAACAATTGAGTTCATTGTGTTTCCATAACACAGCAATAAGGAAAGTTGTGAAGATTTTTGGTTCTCAGTTCTCCCCAGCAGAGTTACCTCCCCTGACTTCATTTTCATCTTTGTTTCATAGTGTGTAACCAAAGATACTCTCTTTGTATAAATATTTAACCAAAGATTTGTGGTGTGACATGAAGTATTAGTTTAGAGTAATTTCTTGCCCATGGTTGGTTCATGAAGAGTTTTTCAGGTTTGGTGTGATGGTCAGTGAATCCTTCATAGTTCATTATCTCATGTGTTATATCTTGATTATTACCCGGAGAAGTACCCTGGACCCATACACTTTGTCTCCAGGAGAACTTGAATGGCAATATGCTTAAAGGGGACATGCTGACAAACGTTTTGTGTTGTTGGCAGTGACAAGGTACAGGATGTATGTTGCTATAGAAGTGAGGTTTAACACTGGATTATTGAGCAATTATATCTATAGACAAAGTTAGCTCTTAAAGTAAATGTGAATTGAAAAATTAGCTAAAAACTACTAAAATTATTAAACATGTAATTTTTCAGTATTAGATGATAAAATTGAACAAGTAATTGATATACATTATTTTATCTACAGACAATATGTGTCACTTAATATACTGTATTATGAAATTTTGGTGAGATGTTCGTATAAATCATGAAATAAATTTATACTTAAAAAATGAAAACAAATATAATTAAATTTGTTTGGGAAATTTTAAAAATAATATTATCCATCTGACCTACATTTATAAAAATATGGGGTAAGTGTGCCTGTCGTGTATGGGGTCATTTAAGAATGATGTCCAACTGTTGTTTTTTGTTACAATTATGGGCATTTTCATTCTGATTTGTTAGAAATATGTGCAAGCTTGAAAGCTTTCTGTGTTGCGTGTGTCATTCAAGAACTGTTTCATTGCTTATTATACATCAAGTCCTATTTTGCATGTATGTGCTAACATTTATCATTGTCTTACCATCATCCTTCTTGTTCACTGCAGTCTCTTGTAAGACAAAACCTGACTGCTAGGACGGCCACTTTTACAATTTAGCTTGGATCTCGTCAAGATAGAAATATGAGGCTGAACTGGTGTATTGTCTTGGCGTGTATTTACGTGACAGTTTTCTGACATTGAAGTGTATATGGATTTAGTTTCAGGAAGCTCTCTACCCTCTTAATCTCTAGGGCTGCCATTTCAGTAAACTTACAGTAAGCCCTGGATCATTTCCATGTTTCATGCGATCACAAATTGGCCACCCTTATTTTCACCAACCAGTTTGATTAGCTACAGAAAGCATGTCTTCGTGTCCATTACAACTGGCACTGACAAGTCCATACCCATTTCTGTACCTAGGGGTTTGATTGGTCAGTAGAATGGTAGTGAAAATAAAGGGCAGGTAGTCTGAGATTTTGAGAACCTTGATAATAGATGAGGGTTTCATGTAGGTAAACAAGATGTTAGTCCCGGCAGTGTGGAGCTGAAATAGGGAGGCCAGTTTTAAGTATGAATGTTGAGTATTCAGAATAACATGTAGCAGTTCTTGTTTTGATATTAGATAATAATTGAAATAAGAAAGACAGTAAAACTTGGCATTGTGTATTTCATAGTAAAACGTGACATGATTATAAGATGTAAAACTGTTTAACTTGCTAGGACTTCATGATCTGATCCGTTGTTTACATGTCAGGGTTGTGTTGGCCAGTCCAGGAAATATATCCCTCCAATTTTTGTAGTATATTTACAAATGGTCAGTTTTATTTACTTTTTACATTGTACTTGTACAGAAGTCTCTTGTTGTGGAGGTAAAGCTTATGTTTTAAAGAGCAAATCTGTACCAGATTTATGTGTTCTTTTCATTTTGATGTGAAATTACTGTCTTATTTTTTAACAAATGGCACTTTACCGTTCCTTATGAATTGAATTGAAATATGATTTGTATTCTGTCTAATTTTACATTTTTTGTGTTGAAATGATGTGATTTATAAGTCAAAAGTTATACTGTCAATACAAACCGAAGTTGTTCAACTCATAGTAAGTCATGACAGACACATGGATGGAAGTAATATAAAAATTGGATGGTCCTTAACATCTTGTGAGTGGTATACAAGTCTTTTGGTTTGAATCTAAATTTGGATTCTGATGCAATAGTGATATGGCCAATATGTGGTCAGGTCTAGAGAAAATCTACAACAGAGAAAACCAGTAATAACTTAAAAATCACTGTTGAAATAAGCTCCTGTCCATGGCAGATCTTGTATTGGGCCATAGGTTCAAATATATGTGGCCTGCTGTAAATTTATCAGTCATTATATGTGTCACAATAAGCTGCAGTGTTTAACATGAGAGCCTGAAGGGTTTAATCAGGGCCTGCTGCTTCTAAAGTCTGCAGGTCCTACTGGCAGCCCGACAATTGTTTTTGTTTCCGACACTGTTACAAAGTAAGATATATTGCTGCCTATGGTGTTAATGCCCCTGCTCATGTAGAGCTACAATGTTGCTATGCTGCTGTAACTGTAGTATAGACCAGCTACCAGTGTGATAACTTGCCTTATAGCACATGCTAACTATGCTTGGATGTAGCGTCAGATGATAGTTGGTTCTAGTATATACTTGTGCAATCCCTAGGCTAGATCAGGTGTAGAACAGAGTAGCATTTAGAAGAAACTTACACCGCTACAGTTGCAGAAGTTCATCATCCATACTACTTGTCATTAGGACTCTTGTTAAATTGTCATCCATAACTTCATGTATTTCACCTTGTACATTAGTTTGTTTTGATGTACACGGTAGTATATTTGGAACTGGAGTGTACTGTGGTGGAAAGTGTATGGCATGACACCAAACCTTGGTCATGCTAATTGAAATTTCAGATTTACTTTCTAATTTTTAAACAATATTTGGCCTTCCTCACCTCTTTCTAACCTACAAATTAGCTTCAAGATTATTTTTTTAATTATTAATGTTTTGATAAAACTGCATCATATTTGAAAATGAAACCTAAAGAGATATTATGTATAATTCCAACATGTTTCCTTTGATAGGACCCCCCCTCCTCAGAAATATTGGATGAGTGTAATCCCTTCCAAAAAGATCTTGCTTATGACAGAATCCAGTTTAGGTGTAAGCATCCTGGGTGATCTCCCTTACCCAGTGTGGCAATGCTGGATTAGGCACATGTTGGAGCAAGGCCAAAGTATGTCAAGTTGGTCCGATATTTCATGATATGCTATAGCACCTGATTTAGCCTAATTGTCAAGGATCCCAGTATTTGAGGTTTGTGTGATGTGACAGCTGATACCTGCCATGTGTGTTGTGTTGTTGATGGTTCAGCTGTACAACATCTAGCATTAACATGCAGTCATACCACTCCTGGATGTCTTGTGTCTTGTGTGTCTGTGTATATACAACCACTTTCTGTCCAAATGTCCTTTAGAATTTGTTTCATCTCTCAAAGTCTTTTGAAAAGAACTTAACTGTAGCAGAAGGGCCTGTTGTCGTACAGGATACAATAGAAATGAACCCTGGCCAGATCTATGTATAAAGAAATGATGTGTCCCAACTGAGCATTACACTGAAACCACTGGGTGAGTCCTTGTAACAGGTGCTTGGTCTGTTTCACTGTCTGTAACCATTTGTGATCCTCTCTGCTCAGCTGTTTCGATAATTCAAAAACCATAAACAAAGCTAAGCTAGATTTTCTCAGGTTCAGGATCTCCCAACTCACTGGGCTCCTTGTCAGTTTTACTAGAGTTACGTGCATCTGTCAAAATGATATATTTTTAGAGATGAAGTGTTAGTATACCAGTTGCAATGCAGACTTGTAGAATGTCAAGATGCATGTGTTAGAGATGGAAAAGTCTGTTCAAAACAGGAAAATTAGCAATCATGAATATATCTGGAGATATTTGATATTTATGTGCTGCATTTAAAACGTTTCAGTGCTGTGTATTGGTTAGCTAGGGTATATTTCTGTATTACCATTCAGCCAAGGGACATTTCTTTTGTTCCCCTTTTAACAACAACCCTTCAGCATTACATCCCATGTGTAAAGCTTGGATATATTCAACATGTACAGATGTGTATCCTGCTTTGTTACCTGACTTCAGGTGGTGAAAATATCCAGTCAACTCCTAGAGGATGTGGAGAGATGGGAGTTGAGGCTGGTAGGAGTTACGGCTATGGGCTTAGATAGGGTAGGGTGTTATGTGTTAGTATTGTTAAGGAAAGGTTTAACATATCGGTAGACTTAAGACAGGAAAGTGGAATATTGGATATATCAGGAAGGGAGTAATGTGGGATACAATGTATTGAAAGCAAACACGCATAATGGACAAGGGGTATGGCAGGGATATGGGGTTAAGAAAGCATGGGATATGGGGTTAAGAAAGAATGGGATTAAGAAAGTATGGGATATGGGGTTAAGAAAGTATGGGATATGGGGTTAAGAAAGAATGGGATTAAGAAAGAATGGGATATGGGATTAAGAAAGAATGGGATATGGGATTAAGAAAGTATGGGATATGGGGTTAAGAAAGCATGGGATATGGGGTTAAAAAGTATGGGGTATGGGGTTTAGAAAGTATGGGATATCTAATGAATACATTGTGAGAGTCTAAATGTATATGGGTTCAGAAAACAGTTGGATGTGGAATATAACCTGGATAAAGGAATATGGGAAAAGGAAGCCAGGTATGCTATATGCTGAAAGTATGAGTTGACTTACAGGGTGCCAGCCATTATGCGTTTTGTATTACAAAATACAGCCAGAATATAGGTGGGTATGGGTAAATGTTATTAACAGGAGAAAGGGTTATGGGGTAGACCGACTCAGATAAGGGGCAAGTGTCTCTAGCCCTGAGTGACTATGCAGTGCAAGTTAATTGTCTGAAATCCATCTTAATGCCAACAGCAAACCATATCTCTTTTCACATATTGCTCTTTTCTATGTATTTTTATAATGCTCGCATAGTTTTGACTGTGTAGTTTTATATGCTATTTTAGACATTGTATTTTTAAACAATGAAAATGTGACTTTCTTTTTGAGGCTTTTAAAGCCATATTTATTACAGCCTGTATGTAATAAACAAAAGTCTTTGTAACAGAGTTGATTGTCTGAATATTTCCATTCTTGTCATGAACAGGAGATTTATACCTCCTTTCAGTGCAGGAGGTTCTATGTAATTTTTGTCACACCACACCAAATCAACGTTAGTAGCAGGAAGCCATTGCAGAGCTTTGAGTGAGTGAGTGAGTGTGGTTTAACATTTCTCCCATCTTTCTTTTCAAATGCATCATAATAACAAGAACAATAATGTACCAAGTATTATAAAGTAAAGGGGTTAAAGTGTTACCTAGCTGAGAGTGAGCGAGCATGGTTTTTTACCGCTTTTAGCAATATTCCAGCACTATCATGGCGGGGGACACCAGAGGTGGGCTTCACACATTGCACCCATGTGGGGAATTAAACACAAGTGTTTTTAGCACGACGATCTTATGCTTTAACCATTAGGCTACCCCACCGCCCATAGGTATCAACTTGGTTGAGGTGTGGTTCTAAGTCATATTATCACATGTTCAGACAGGTTTTAAATCCAACACCCTCCCTCACTCATCCTTACACCCAGGGGTGGTGAGGTAGCCTAGTGGTTAAGGTGATCGCTCGTCATGCCGAAGACCTGGGTTCAATTCCCTACATGGGCACTTTTCTAATGATATTGCTGGAATATTGCTAAAAGCGGCATAAAACTGAACTTGCTCACTCACTCGCATCCTTACAATAAACATAGATACCTCTTCCTCTCTCAGTCCCCCGCTGTGATATTGCTGGAATATTGCTAAAAGTGGCGTAAAACCATACTCACTTCCTCTCTCAAATTAACAGCCTATGCCGGTGATGAGAGGCAGCGCAGTGGACTGGGTGACAGACTTCGAGTACCAGTTATTGTACACCATCACTGGGTTATCTGGCTGTTGTCATGAAGATCAACTAGAGATAAAATACTGTTTAGTGCAGCATTCAACAAACACTGATACCATCTCCCCTGTATTTAATACAGGGCATTTACGTAGAGAAAAAAAGTGATTTTGGACAGTGAGTGATCACATCGTACAAGGAGGCTTTGACTGTCACCAGAATGCTAGACAATCAGAATCATTCCCACTTACATAATGAAACATATTCATATCAGTGATATGTGTGTTCCATTTTGATACACCAATCCAGACATTTTTGAGTGAAGCTATGATGTATGATTGAAATGTGAAACACACGCGTATAAAATGTGAAAGACACGCATATAACATGAACAAAACACACAAAACTGAACACTCTTGAAAATGTTAAAACTTTTATTTCCCAATACTCATGCAATATAATTATCTATTGAGCATGCTTTCTTAATGAGTGAACAAGCTTCTTTCATTGAAATATCCTCGCCACAGGAATGATTGTTGATGAAAATAGAAAAGTCCGAGGCAAAACATCTCTGCTTGAATACTTAATTGACTTGTTGATATATTTGATGTCCAGACACTTGGGTGAGATTCTCTACATGAAATACTAACATGAAATACTAATGACAATTATAAATGTCATCAGCATTAAAAAAATCGTGTCTTATAGTAGTAAATAGATAATTCAATAACTTACTTGAGCTTACAAATTCTTTCATTTTCAGAAACCATTTATGAGACAAATACATGAGACAATCTGAATACATGCATATAATACAATACCCAACAAAAACAAATTGGAGCTGATGTTTAATAGCAAATTTCATGTTTTCACCGACTAAAGTAATTTTCTCTTGTTCTTTCACACGAAATGATCCATTGTTTCTTACCCCAAGAATAGTGAGTTTGATGAAAGTGTTACCCATAGGTAAGCCAACCCCTTTCTACAGACTGCTTTAAATATGTCGTAAACATTGCCTCTGGATTATGATTGCCCTTAATCTGTGCTTACCACTGAGACATACAGAAATGGAACTGAAATTTGAAACTAAGTTACAGTTTTCGCTATGTAGACTCGAGATCATCTCCCCTTGCAGTGACATCACAGCGCGACTGTTTGAAAACATTCACAATTTTTTTCTGTATGGGCCACGTACAAGAGGTGTTGGAAGTGATTCAAGTTTTTCTTCAAGTTTTCAACGATCATCGTACTTGTTCTTTCATGGGAAATGATACAATGTCATTTCTTACCCTGAGAAAAATGAGTTTAAAATTTGGCGTTCTACAGTCATAGCCGGTGAGACAAACTACACATGATAACCCAATTATTATCACAGTACAATCACCGGAGAATCACAAACTGGCAGTACATCGACACTGTCAGTCTGTGGGACCTAATCACGGGTACAGTTAATTGATTCTTATCCGTAAGTGGCACATGTTTTGTATATAATTCACAAATCAGTTCTATTACTGCAGTAATCATGCAAGACTAGATGCTTGATGTTTTGTCATCTTGAAATGACATCATGGACAGTGAGTTATCTCCCCTGCTATTGTGTGGTCGTGTAGACTGGCGAGAATGTTTTGGCGTCTGTTGCCTGTAACCTGCAACAACACGTGACTGAGTGAGGAAGGTAGGGGGTATTGAGACATTGAAAAATTGTGAATGTGTGAGTCAGTTTTGTTTGTTTGTTATTAGCTATATGGAGGTGATCTGTAAACAATCGAGTCTGGACCAGACAGTCCATTGATCAATAGCATGAGGATCGATCTATGCAATTGGGATACGATGACGTGTCTATAAGTACACCGGATTAGTCATCTCTTACGACAAGCATGGGTTGCTGAAGACCAATTTTACCCTGGATCTTTGCAGATGGGATGAAAGTGATTGATTGATGAGCATGTAGGTTTGTGAGAGGGTGGCTGCTGCCCGAAGTTGTCTGCCGTGTGCTCACTCACCAGTTCTGTGTGCTGTACTCGGTGTTGTGCTGGTCGTACACATGGAACGTGTATACATGCCGGGATCGTGGTGACAGGTTCTGCTCGCTCTTGTGAACCACCTCGCCATGGATCAAAACCAGTGAACCTGTAGGTCAAGGTCAAACAGATGAACGAGTTGACATCAAGGAAATATTGGCTTGATGCATGTCACAGATACATTCTAATGTGAGTTTAATCAGCAGCATGTATAATCAGCATCCAATATTTATCTAGACGAAATGATGTGTTTGCATTTATTTGAGTCATTAACGTTAAACTCAGTAAAACAGAGCTCCTCCACAGAAGCCAGGACATTAGTGATAAAATCTGTGATAACATGATCTGTGTGCTGATAACATGATTTGAAAAGGTCCAGGGTTGTGAGTGCTGATATCATGGTACAGTTTCTATAATATTTGTCAGAGAAGGCAACATCAAGTTTGTCTTGTTTGGGGACCCTGCCAAACAACCAACATTCTGAGTAACTGATCGCGACTGTTTGGGGAGGAGTAACTGATCGCACTGTTTGGTGACCCTGCCAAACAATCAACATTCTGAGTACATCTGTTTGGTGAACATTCTGAGTAACTGATCGCACTGTTTGGTGACCCTGCCAAACAACCAACATAGTCACAGAGCCCAAATATCACCTCCATATTATTCACTACAATCTGACCTTTTTTAACTTCAACAGGAACAAATTTCTTGTCATCAAGTGTGACGACTTCCCCTGTAAACACGGTGCCTGGTTTTCCTGGACCTCGCTCTGGGTTGATGATCATACGCCGGTTCCCAGCAACGCCATCTGGTGACAGCAAAACACTATCAATATTATGTACAATTTGTACACATGGTACATGTCTTTTATTCTGAAAAATACCCAACACAAAATAAATAAAAAATGTTATGGCACAAAAACATCCATCAGCCTTGTCACCATCGGTAACCACCTGATCCTCTGACCTAACGATAGAGGGGGTTCTATTCCAACCTCTGTACCAGACCACAAAGTGATTTCAGCTGTAAGGCATTTGAATTATAGCAATACAAAACAAACGGCCTGTCCTTAACTTATCTTGAGTTGTATACATGCTGATTTTACATATAACAGTTGCATGGTGTTGTGATGTGTTCATATTTTCATGTACATAATAGCTACACATAATAGCCTGTTACACTAAAACTGTGAAGAATGATGACCATTTTTTTTATGGATATACAACTTCTTTTATTCTGTGGAGGGTGAATAAAAGAAGCTGTATATCCATAAAACATTGTCATCATTCTTCATCAACTCAACTTCTAAAATGCCATCAAAGAAACTAAAACTGTGTGTGAATGATTGGAGCGTGATGGAGGAAGGTGTTAGTGTATCCCTTCTGGATCTAGACAGGAGCATCCATCTTTGAATATCAAGTGTATCACATCACCATTCTGTTATGATAAATACTGTGCACCCGTTTTTCACTTTTCACATCCTATTAAATAACACTGTTCTCTCCTCATAAAACATAAAACATATAACTTTTTTTTAACAAGCTATGTTGCATATTGTCTTGAAAACAGAACACTCTCCATGGATACATCAGAACAATTTGCATTACAATGCTTTGAACCAGTTAAGAACCAGTGAAGATCCAGGTTAGAATTGATCTTCAGTAACCCATGCTTGTAAGAGGCAACTAACGGGATCAGGTGGTCAGGCTCACTGACTTGGTTGACACATGTCATTGTACCTCAATTGCATAGATCAATGCTCATGCTGTTGATCACTGGATTTTCTGGTCCAGATGCGATTATTTACAGACTGCATCCATATAGCTGTAATATTGCTGAGTGTGGTGTAAAACTAAACTCACTCACTCACAATGCTTTGAAGACACTTGTTACATCATTGGTCTACCATGACATGACTAATCTCTCTGCCATTGAAGCAGGTCAGCTCTACATTTCACGTACAAGACACTGGTTGTTTCTGTTTCCAAAATGAAAAGTTGAACCCTGGTCTTCAGAGTGACGAGCGAACGCCTTAACCGTAGGCTACCCCACCACCCCCCATTAGCATTTCGAACACTTTACAGCAATTGAATGGAAGATATTGTGACCTTTGTGAGATCCTGGGATGAACCACAGACAGCCATTGTCCACCGTGGTGTCTTCCAGGGCGATCCAGAACCCCATCAGCTTCAAGGGAGTCGTGTGCAGGAACGTGGAGTCCTGGTGCGGAACCACTGTAGGGGGAGTTATCACATAAATAGTTCAGCTTGTCACATTTACAGGTGTGATACGTCTGGTTAACACCCCTGGATATAAATTATAGACATTTTAATAATTACAAACTTCAGGTTATGGTAATGATGGAGTGAGAGATTCATCACGTGTAGAAACATTCATTATATATACCAGTATTCAACCTCAAACAAGAGATTTACCCATGTAGGGAATCAAACCCAGGACCTTGACATGATAAGATTTACCCATGTAGGGAATCAAACCCAGGACCTTGACATGATAAGATTTACCCATGTAGGGAATCAAACCCAGGACCTTGACATGATAAGATTTACCCATGTAGGGAATCAAACCCAGGACCTTGACATGATAAGATTTACCCATGTAGGGAATCAAACCCAGGACCTTGACATGATAAGATTTACCCATGTAGGAATCAAACCCAGGACCTTGACATGATAAGATTTACCCATGTAGGGAATCAAACCCAGGACCTTGACATGATAAGATTTACCCATGTAGGGAATCAAACCCAGGACCTTGACATGATAAGCCAATGTTTTAACCAGCTGTCCTAACCATAAATGTTAAAGTGAGGTTTCAAATGTTACACTTCTTGTTTCAATTTCTCATTTATCTCAATAACACATGCTAATCTTACAACTGGTAATGTCTGGTAGCAACCTCTATGTGTATTCTTATATTACATAGGTATTTATATAGCGCCATAGTCCATTCCGTCTACATGCATGCTCAAAGCACTTTGTTTTTTCCCTCGATCATTGGATGCCAATCTCAACGGCACATCATATTTTTATTCTCAACTCCCTGGGGATCATACAACTTGTGCAGCCACTAGGTTAATGTGGCTTTCCCATCCTTACGGGGTTACTCGTGTACTCTTAAATATGATAAGTATCTGATGTTTCCATGACAACTGGGGATTCAGGTAAAATATTTGATTCCCTAGTGAAGTGGATCAAGCAGTCTGACTCGGTTACTTGGGTTATTGCATGTCACTGTATGACTATTGTGTAGGATAATGCTCATGATGTTTATCACTGGATTGTCTGGTCCAGATTTGATTATTTGCAGACCACTGTCAAATAGCTGGTATTTCTCTCAGTGCCGCCTTAAACAAACTTATACTTCAATGACTTTCTCTTCCTCAGACGTTACACTCTTGTCATAAAATATGGCTTGTATAAACTATATTTCAAGATGAGGTGCCGTAATATATTATTGGATATTATCACCGGTAGATCGTGGGGATACATGTGCACAACTGACAAATACACACAACGTTTAATTGCAAATTTGATGTCTTCATTTTCTCCTATCGTTCACACGAAGCGATACAAGGTTGGTTTCTTACCACCAGGAAAAATGTTTGATGAAAGTGTAACCCATAGATAAGTGGACCCCCTTCTATGGACTCCCTTTTTGGTCCTCAAATTTCAGCTTATCTACGGTAATATATGGTAACAGATTAGCAATCTACTGTTTTAATCACCTCAGTCACCCTAGTTATGTGGGGAGACAAATAACTGGAATCATTACCTTCACCTCCGATGCCTGGTTGCTGAAATGTGATGAAACATACTGTCATGGATAATGACACAAAACATGGCTCTATGATACAGTACCAAATTAGTTTTTTGTTATATAGTCAAAGAAACAGCAGCTGTGTGGGGTATACTTTTGGCATCTTCCAGCACATTTAGACAGCCTATGTGGTCGAGCTGATAGAGATCACAACTGGCTGTACCAAACCAAAAGACAAAATAATGGTCAAGCCTTCTGCACCGGATCAAGGTGATCAAACTAGAACTAGTTGGCTTTGAGTCAGTACACAGTGTCAGTGAGTGAGTTGGGTTTTACGTCACTTTCAGCAATATTCCAGCAATATCACAGCGGGGGACACCAGAAATGGGCTTCATACATTGTGCCCATGTGGGGAATCAAACCCGGGTCTTTGGCATGACAGGCGAACGCTTTAACCACTAGGCTGCCCCACTGCCCCTACAGTGTCTGAGTGTAGTATCAATATTAAAACATAGAGGCACAGATACAGACACAGAACACCTTACTATTCAAGAAAGACAATCTTGAATGTGACGTTAAATCTCCTTTCACCTTTCCTCACCTCTTGCACAATGGAACTCTGTTGTAACATACCAGTTTCGCGACATTTTAGAACTTAAACATAGATAACAGCTTTTCTTAAAACAACTATCACTGTTCAGTTCACTGATCTTCAAAAACATTCACACCATAATAGGTAATATAATTCATAAACATTGACATCACAATAAAACAAGTTTCCAAGAAGGAACTGTACATTACGTGTAGCTACCCTGCAAGGTGCCCCTACCTTGAATATGTACATGCTCTGACACAGCGTGGGCTCCACCATTCCAACAGCTCGCAACACATCCTGCAAACAAAACGCCTCATCTGTACAGTTACTGACTATTCTTCAAAACTATAGGCACTGTTAATAAAATACAAAATTCTTTGCATATCACATGTCTGATTTCCAATCACAGTAAGTTACTTTTAAATAACACTACGTTTTTGTGACATTTTGCTTCTGTCTTTATGTATTGTGATTTGAATTTTTCTGGTCATTGATGACAGATTTACCTATAGTCCAATTTCACTCACAGCAAGAGTGGCCAGGTATACATGTATAACTAAAACAAATAGAGACAACAAAATTCTGTCATTGGCCCCTAACTCTTTTGCCATGACAGATTAACTATAGCAATATGAAAGAAATAGGTGGTTCTTAAACTTTCGTCTGAAGACCGGGTTCAGAATATGAAGAGCTGAAAGAAACGTAAACATGCCTTTTTTCTTAAAATTTCATTTTATTTTTCTTCAAAATTAGTGAATGAGAATGCTCTTTATGCCACTTTTAGCAAAACTCCAGCAATAGAATGGCAAGGATACCTCACACATTGTACACACTTCAGGAATTGAACCCTGGTCTCCGGTGTAGAGAGCAATACTTTAACCACTGGGCTACCCCACAACTTCAGTACGAGGGCTTCTAGCCATGTTCCAGACTTAGCATGTTTCACAACATAGACACCATTAGTTTGTTGTTGTTTAATGTAACACTCGGGAATATTCTCACTCTGTCACAGAGATCTGTAAATAATCAAGTTTGGGCCAGATAATCCAGTGATTGATGCTGTGATCATCTTTCACTTGCTAGAAAGAAGGATAATTCGGAAATATTGTTAATGGGAAACATTATTAATGATTCTGATACAAAAAGTGTGTCATCGATAATATTGTACATTGTAACGGAATGAAATGTGGTGTTTTAAATTACTCTGACAATAAATAATATCAGATCTTTATTCATGGGCTGCTTGTAACTTGGGCAATCCAAGCCTATATCACCTCTCACTCAACTCATGGATTAACCAAACCTGATGAGATGTATACATACCATGGCCTATTTTGTTGACTGAGAGCTGCTTGTCAACCTGTAACACCCCTGAGGACAAATAACCGACATTAGTCATGCCAGAGGAAGTATTATTTATCTATTATGATATAACAGGTCATGAAGATTGGGTCATAAAGACATCCAGTATTAGACCTACAGACAATCAACATCAGACAGAGAAACAAAGTCATGTGCTGCCACAATAAATACATGACTAGGTTTGCATCAAAAGCTTAAAAAAATACCAGCAGGCACCTTATTTTCATAAAATCTTAGTAAGATGGTCTTTTGGACAATGAAGAACAACCATTATTATATCTTGCTAATCACTTGAACAACTGTGAAACAAGTCACTAACTTATAAAATGTCAGCATTTTCAACGTAGGTATGATGCAATACAGTTCATTACATATGATTCAACACTACTGTTCGATTGTGTAGGACATCCGAAAACACATAATAAAGTTAGTTTACCATTCATGGAATTAGCCAGAGCTTATAGGAATTAACAAGCTTCTAACTGACATATGAATAAGTATACCATTTAAAAAATTAAAAAATTGACACAGAAAACTATGAAAACATAAACTTAAGTTTAGATCCCCTGGAAATACACAGTTGTGCTATTAACCTAAACTTGATCTCCACCAAATGTTAATGTACATGATGTATTCCCTAAGAATGGACACATTACTTGCTATGACAGAATGTTAATGTACATGATGTATTCCCTAAGAATGAACACATTACTTGCTATGACAGAATGTTAATGTACATGATGTATTCCCTAAGAATGGACACATTACTTGCTATGACAGAATGTTAATGTACATGATGTATTCCCTAAGAATGAACACATTACTTGCTATGACAGAATGTTAATGTACATGATGTATTCCCTAAGAATGAACACATTACTTGCTTTGACAGAATGTTAATGTACATGATGTATTCCCTAAGAATGAACACATTACTTGCTATGACAGAATGTTCCTGTTTCAGGGGTCTGACAGAATGTTGTGGCAAGATATGGCCTAGAATGTTGCTAGTGTTCATCATGCTTCTACCAGGATACCAGGTGTTTATATATTCCCAAAATCAGTATCAACTAAGTCAGGGGTGGAAATAACTTTAAAATTGCTAGTGTACTACGGTACAGTGGCACATGTAAAATCACTTGCCCTGATCATTTTTCCACTATAATGGCCGTTTTCTTATTGATTTTTTAAATAAGCAGCATTATTATCACTGGAAAGTCAACTGGACACCGGTACAGCGTGATATACAATTTGCTTGCCGGACAGAAATGTAATTTTTAGAGTAAAATTGATATTTTATACTTATCCTGACTCATGCTCTTTTGCTTGTCTTCTTCTTCTTGCGAACATAGTGGAAACACTTGTATCTCCTTAATTGAAGCTCCCTTCAATGTAAAATCACTAATCAGTACTCACCACCAGTTGCTCCCTTGATCCCTTTTAGGGGGAAGGTGTAAGCCACCCTCCTACCTGCGTGCTTCACTCTCTCCTGATTTTAGAGAGCCCAACACTTGGAATTTACAGGAAATCCAAAGTGTTATGTGGGGAGGAGATGGGAGAGCTGACCTCATGAGTCAGGATAAGTATAAAATATCAATTTTACTCTAAAACACATATTTTCCTTATCCTGACTCATGCTCTTTTACGTTTGAATCTTCAATGAACGGAGGAGGAGTAACAGAATACTTTGGATTTATAATTAGTGATTTTGTATATAACTGTAATAACTGGTATGGGAACTTCATGAAGGCATAGACTTAGGATATTTCCTGTATATAACCATAGGTTTTATAATGCCATAAATGTGTATTACATTGATATATATTGAAAAAAAACCATTACATAAATTATATATACATAAGTGACTCTGATGGAATAAGCTGTACAACTAAATATAATGTCCATATATACTTAGGGGTGAAAAGACCTAAGCTGAATATATATACATAGCTCTAGAACTCCTCAGAGTTATAAGCTAACTAAATTATGTTATATAATACACAATATTAACTTTGTGATTGTAATATTTTAACTTCTCTGAGGGACTGTCAGCTGTTGGCGAGGACCAAAAGGGCCGAAATGGTGAATGCCAGAGACATCTTCTCTGGTGATATCTCTCAAGTACCGGGTAGTGATTACATAAACACCATGTTCGATTTCCAAAAAGCATCCTTCCATAATAGTGTTCAATGAACAGTTACGTGCAGGGCTTAGGGTGGAAGCCAGTGCCCTAATCTCATGCGGATTTGATGCTGTTGGTGGGTCCAACCTGCTGCCTTGTATGCTTTGTAGTATGACAGTCCTTATCCAAATAGATATGGTAGTATTGCAGCGAGACTTCTGTTTGATTCGTGGCTTATAAGGGGATGAATAATCTTTGAGAAATCTTCAGCCTTGTTTTGGATGGTCAGGTAGGTAAACTTTGAGAGCTCTGACTGGACACAGTGACAAGTCTTGTGTATCTTGTGATGATCGAATGGAGGATAGCTGGTACATGGAATAACCTGTCTGGTTGACCTGGTAGTTGATTTTAGCCGATGAAATCCCATCTTAATCGAGGTGCTTATGTTTTTGATTGTCATCAAACTGTATCCTTTCGTAATCCAGAGCGTGGAATTTCAGATATTCTTGCTGCCGTATTGGCTAGAGATAGCAGAAATAGTGTTTTCTGTGAGAGAAATTCAAAGTTTGTCGCATTCCAAGGGTTCATAAGCCTCACTTGTGAGGTGTTGTAACACTATATTCAGATCCCAAGCTGGGCGTGGAACTTCCGCTTTGGTCCTCCAATCGAAAGCACGTGAAAGGCCACCAGTAACTCTGGAGATTTTGTCAGCTTGACACCGCTTCATAGTAATCACAGAGCTGGCAAGATATGTTGATATCGTCAACCTCTTAAATGTTTGTTTTGCCGCAGCTAACACAAATAGTCTGCCACTTGAGGATGTGAAGCATCTCGCTGTAAATCCTTTATTAGCTGCATAATTTTCAAACTGTGCCACTTGTCGCCGCATTGCCACGAAGTTGAGGTGTCGTAGCGCGTTGACCGCTTTGCAGCTCTGGCAGAATATCCTCTCTTGTTTAAACACATTTGTATACAGTCCATACGCGGAAGTTGGTAAACTTCTGGTTTTCCTCGATGCACTTGATTTGTGTGTGGATGTATTAACAGGTTTGAGCTTGGGTAGCTCTCTAATACTGGTTGACCGATTTCTTGAATTAGACTGGGAAACCATATTCTGGCTGGCCAGTAGGGCGACCAAAGTGAGTTGTGGACTCTGTGTTTGTTTGATTTTCTGTAATACTTGAGGTATTATTGTTGGCGGCGGAAACGCTGCACGCCGCTGAGGCCTTCCCAAGATATACTTAGAGTCCGCTTCCCAAGCTTGTGGATCTGGGATTGGTGACACGATAATGTCGGTAACTGATTGTTGAATCTTGTGGCGAATAGATCTATTAGCGGCTGCTAACGAAGGCTTGATTATCTGAGCAAATATTCTCGTATTGAGCATCCACTCTGTCGGTGATGGTAGATGAGGCCGAGATAGCCGCGCCTGCTAGTACATTCTTTGCTCCGGAATGTGAACTGCTCTGATCTGTAGATTTAGATCGTGGGTTAGATCGAATAGTTGAAAGCTTAGGTTCAAAAGGTTCAATGATCTCGCTTGAGCCTTGCTTGTTTATGCAGAACGCCACTGTGGAATTGTCTGTATGAATCATCAGGTCGCGCATTTTGTAGAAATGTGCTCCAATGTAGAATGGCATTGATTACAGCTTTCATCTCTAAGTTGTTTATGTGGAGTTTGCTTTCTTGTTGATTCCATATTCTGATGTCGCTTGGTTGGTTGGCGCAGATGAGCTCCCCAACCTTGAAGTGACGCGTCCACATATAGATGGGTTTGGAATTCCTGCTCTGCTAAACAAATCCCTTCACAGACATTCGATTCCTTTGTCCACCATAGTAGATGAGGTCTGAGATGTTTCGGTAGACTGAATGGCTGTAAATCGTCGAGATGTGCATTGATGAAGACCTGTAAAGGACGTGAACTGTAACCTGCCTCTGACTGTCATGTCTTGGGCTGATGAGGAGACCTAGGAGGCTCTGCCATTGTCGGCGGTAACGGAGCACGTAGAAGCTGGTGGAATGGTCTGTTGGATCTTGATCCAACGGTCTTCTGGTACTTAAGATACGGTTGAGATTTGTGATAAATCGAATGCCTAGGAACTGTAGGTCTTGTGGACGGTACTAGGTCCGACTTGAGTAAGTTTACTAACCATCCTAGCTGTGTTAGTAGCTTTATGATGTAATTTAACTGTAGTTTGAGATGCTGTGGATCTTGATCTACTTGTATCCCGTCGTCGAGGTAAAACGCGACCGCGAGCCCTTGATGATGAAGATAGGTGATAATCGGTTTCGCTATCCTCGTGAAAAGCCAGGGGCTGATGATATTCAATGGGAGCACTTTCCACTGGTAATGTTGCCCGCCTAAAGTAAACCGTAGGTATTTCCTGGCTTTACGCGTGTATCGGGATGTGCAGGTAAGCCGGCCCTGTAGATCGATACTGTCCATGTAGTCCATGGGGCTTAATCAACCGTCGCAAACTGAGGTAAATGTATCATGCGGAACTTCGGTGGTTTGCGTAGATAGTTCTTGTTGAAAAAGCTCATGTTGTAGATGAGTCTGTATTTCTCCTTGGAGTTTTTCTTGGGAACTAGGAAAACTGGGGAGTAGAAACCTGGTTCTATGTTGTCCTGGTCTAGTATTTCTATGGCCTGCTTTATTAAGAGCGATGTAACAGCCTCTCTTAGCTTCGGTAGTTGTTGTGCCTGTACGTCGAACTTGTGAGGGTTGACTGTCAGCGGAGGCTTGGCCTTTAGTTGGATACAAAATCCGTGACGAAGAATGTTGGAGACATAAGGGTCTTGTAATATTCCCCAGTTTTCCCAGTAAAGTTGGAGGCGTCCACCCACTTGAGATGGTTGTACTGGAACGGCTGGGGGTGGAAGACTC